TCAAATATACCTTTCACTTTGCCATCCTTCTCGCCATACTTGGGGCAGTTCCGCTTCTAGTGACTAGTGCCTTTGCAGTAGAAGCACTCGGTCTCAGGCTTAGGTCCAGACTTGGGCTTCTTCACCTAAGCAGCAACTTGCTTGCCATTCTTCTTGAAGTTCCCCTTCTTCCCTTTGCCCTTTTTCTTGAAACTAGTGGTCTTGTTAAACATTAACACTTGATGCTCCTTCTTGATTTCTACATCCGCAGCCTTTATCATCGCGAAGAGCTCAGGAATTGCCATATCCATCCCTTGCATATTGTATCTCATCACGAAGCTTTTGTAGCCTGGTGGTAGTGATTGAAGAACTCTGTCAATGACACTATCATCAGGAAGATTAACTCCTAGTTGAGTCAAGTGGTTGTGCTACCCAGACATTCTGAGTATATATTCATTGACAGAACTATTCTCCTCCATCTTGCAGCTATAGAACTTATTGGAGACTTCATATCTCTCAATTCAGGCATTTGCTTGAAATATTGACTTCAACTCCTGGAACATCTCATATGCTCCATGACGTTCAAAACGTCTTTGAAGTCCCGATTCTAAGTCGTAAAGCATGGCACACTGAACTAACGAGTAGTCATCATCTTTGCTCTGCCAGATGTTCATAACATCTGGAGTTGCTCCTACAGCGGGTTTTGCACCTAGCGGTGCTTCCAGGACATAATTCTTCTATGCAGCAATGAGGATAATCCTCAAGTTACGGACCCAGTCTGTATAGTTGCTACCATCATCTTTCAACTTAGCTTTCTCTAGGAACGCATTAAAATTCAAGGGAACGGTAGCACAAGCCATTGATCTAGAACAAAATAGACATGCAAATACTATCAGGTACTAAGTTCATGAGAAATTAAAGTTCAATTAATCATATTACTTAAGAACTCCCACTTAGATAGACATCCCTCTAGTCATCTAAATGATCACGTGATCCATATCAACTAAACCATGTTCGATCATCACGTGAGATGGAGTAGTTTTCAATGGTGAACATCACTATGTTGATCATATCTACTATATGATTCACGTTCGACCTTTCGGTCTTAGTGTTCCGAGGTCATATCTGCATATACTAGGCTCGTCAAGTTTAACCCGAGTATTCTGCATGTGCAAAACAGGCTTGCACCCGTTGTATGTGAACGTAGAGCTTATCGCACCCGATCATCACGTGGTGTCTCGGCATGACGAACTGTAGCAACTATGCATACTCAGGGAGAGCACTTGTACCTTGAAATTTAGTGAGGGATCATCTTATAATGCTACCACCATGCTAAGCAAAATAAGATGCATAAAAGATAAACATCACATGCAATCAAAATAAGTGATATGATATGGCCATCATCATCTTGTGCCTCTGATCTCCATCTCCAAAGCACCGTCATGATCACCATCATCACTGGCTTGACACCTTGATCTCCATCGTAGCATCATTGTCGTCTCGCCAACTATTGTTTATACGACTATCACTCCCGCTTAGTGATAAAGCAAAGCAATTACATTTCATATAATAAAGCGACAACCATAAGGCTCCTGCCAGTTGCCGATAACTTTTACAAAACATGATCATCTCATACAACAATTTATATCTCATCACGTCTTGACCATGTCACATCACAGCATGCCCCGCAAAAAAAGTTAGACATCCTCTATTTTGTTGTTGCAAGTTTTACGTGGCTGCTACGGGCGTCTAGCAAGAACCGTTCTTACCTACACATCAAAACCACAACGATTTTTCGTCAAGTGTGCTGTTTTAACCTTCAACAAGGACCAGCCATAGTCAAACTTGATTCAACTAAATTTGGAGAAACAGACACCCGCCAGCCACCTGTGTGCGAAGCACGTCGGTAGAACCAGTCTTATGAATGCGGTCATGTAATGTCGGTCCGGGCCGCTTCATCCAACAATGCCACCGAATCAAAGTAAGACGTTGTTGTAAGCAGTATGACTATTATCGCCCACAACTCTTTGTGTTCTACTCGTGCATATAACATCTACGTATAGACCTGACTCGGATGCCACTATTGGGGAACGCAGTATTTCAAAAAAATTCCTACGATCACGTAAGATCTATCTAGGAGATGCATAGCAACAAGGGGGAAGAGTGTGTCCACATACCCTCGTAGATTGAAAGCGGAAGCGTTTAGTAACGCGGTTGATGTAGTCGAACGTCTTCGCGATCCAACCGATCCTAGCACCGAACGGTACGGCACCTCTGTGTTCTGCACACGTTCATCACGATGATGTTCCTCGATCTCTTATCTAGTTGAGGACAAGGGAGAGTTCCGTCAGTACGATGGCGTGTTGACGGTGATGATAAAGTTACCGGCGCAGGGCTTTGCCTAAGCACTACGACAATATCACCGAGGTGTGTAATTGTGGAGGGGGGCACCGCACACAGCTAAGAGAAGACTTGGTGTGTCTTTTGGGTGCCCCTCCCACGTATATAAAGGAGGGGGAAGAGGAGGCCATCCCAAGGGGGCGCGCCATAGGGGGGAGTCCTACTTGGACTCCCGGTCCAAGTAGGATTCGCCCCCCCCTTTCCTATTCCAACTAGGAGAAGGAGGGAAGGAGGAAGAGGGGGTGCCGCCCCCTCCTAGTCCAATTCGGACCAGCCAAGGGGGGCACCACTTGAGGCCCTTCCCTCCTTTCCCCTAAAGCCCATTTAAGGCCCATTACTTCTCCGGGGGTTCCGGTAACCTCCTGGTACTCCGAAAAATACCCGAAACACTTTGAAACCATTCTGGTGTCCGAATATAACCTTCCAATATATCGATCTTTATCTCCTGACCATTTCGAGACTCCTCGTCATGTCCGTGATCTCATCCGGGACTCCGAACAAAATTCGGTCATCAAATCACATAACTCATAATACAAATCGTCATCGAACGTTAAGCATGTGGACCCTACAGGTTCGAGAACTATGTAGACATGACCGAGACATATCTCCGGTCAATAACCAATAGAGGAACCTGGATTCTCATATTGGCTCCTACATATTCTACGAATATCTTTATCGGTGAAACCGCATAACAACATACGTCATTCCCTTTGTCATCGGCATGTTACTTGCCCGAGATTCGATCGTCGGTATCATCATACCTAGTTCAATCTCGTTACTGGCAAGTCTCTTTACTCATTTCGTAATGCATCATCTCGTAACTAACTCATTAGTCACATTGCTTGCAAGGCTCATAGTGATGTGCATTACCGAGAGGGCCCAGAGATACCTCTCCGATACTCGGAGTGACAAATCCTAATCTCGATCTATGCCAACTCAACAAACACCATCAGAGACACATGTAGAGCATCTTTATAATCACCCAGTTACGTTCTGATGTTTGATAGCACACAAGGTGTTTCTCCGGTATTTGGGAGTTGCATAATCTCATAGACAAAGGAACATGTATAAGTCATGAAGAAAGTAATAGCAACAAAACTAAACGATCATTATGCTAAGCTAACAGATGGGTCTTGTCCATCACATCATTATCTAATGATGTGATCCCGTTCATCAAATGACAACACATGTCTATGGTTAGGAAACTTAACCATCTTTGATTAACGAGCTAGTCTAGTAGAGGCATACTAGGGACACTATGTTTGTCTATGTATTCACGCATGTACTAAGTTTCTGATTAATACAATTCTAGCATGAATAATGAACATTTATCATGATATAAGGAAATATAAATAACAACTTTATTATTGCCTCTAAGGCATATTTCCTTGACCCGACCCCTCTGCCTGGCGCTGGCTGCGGCCGCCGGGGTGCCCAACCAAATGGCCCCGGGTGCCCGACCATTTCAGCCGCCTGCGGGCTGGCTCCCTGAATGCCCTGAGTGCCCGACAAAATGGCCTCGGGTGCCCGGTCCCCTCACCCGCCTGGCCCCCTGTATGCCCTGGGTGCCCGGGCTTCACACCCCCTGGGTGCCCGACCCTCCTCCCCAGGCGCGCCCCGGGTGCCCGGACCCTCCACCGTGGCTACACATTTTTCAAGATAAATTGCCCATGTATCCTTGTTTTACCCCCAATTCGTCCCTAGCCTATAAGTACTCCCAAACTAGCTCATTTATGAGGTTAGCAAAGTATTTGATAGACACTAGAGAGCTTTGCTCCTTGTATCCCTCCTCTTGGAGATCAAGATCCCTCTTTGGGAAGAATTCTTGTGGATTATCAAGGCCTCCTGTTGGAGAAGATCAACATCAAGACCTCATCTCCTTGGAGTAGGAAGAACTTTACCCTAGTGCTACTTTTCCTTGAATTGTTCTTGTACGCTTGTGGATCTACTCCAGTGGATGTGTTATTTGGATTTTTTTGAGTGATTCTTCCCCTTCATGTTCTTGTGTGTTCATCACTTTCCCTCTCTCCAAGTGTGAAAAGATCCCATCTAGGGTTTCACCCTACAACAACATATCTACCGAGCTTCTAACTATTAAGCAGAGTATCGTTTATTTATTGTCTTTTGGACTGCTTTGTCCTTCGAGCGGAAGTAGAGCAGCAGTAGCCAGCGGTAGTACCGCTCTATGCGGCACTACTGCACTGCCCTCCTCTACTACCACCGTTTCGTGTGGTTGCACAACTCTAGGTAATACCGCTCCAACGGCATTACCGTCTCCCTGATCTGTTCAGTTGAGTGCAGTTGCTGAAACTTCCATGCCAGCCGAAGTACCGCTCGCGCGAGCGATACTACCGCTTGTGCACGGGCTGAAGGGGCATACGGTTGGATTCTTTTCTCCACTATATAAGTGAGTCTTCTTCTTCTAGTTGACTTACCTCTTCCTCCTTCAAGATTCATTGTTGCTCAAAAGCTCATTCTTGCCCGATCTCTCTCCCTAACCATTTAACCTTGTTGATTTTCCTATGGATTGGTTGAGAAGGCCTAGATCTACACTTTCACATAGAGAAATTTGATTCCCCCATTAATTCCTTGCGGTTCTCTTGGGTTTTTGAGCACTCTAGATGGCTGAGGTTACGTCGAAACCACATTCCATTGTAGTGAAGCTTCATGGTGGTGTTGGGAGCCTCAAATTCGGTTGTGGAAATTGCCCAACCTTATCTGTAAAGGTCCGGTTGCCGCCTTCAAAGGTATCATTAATGGAATCACGTCATCTTACATTGCGCGAGGGCGTGAGGAGAATACAGTGGCCCTAGTGGCTTTTTGAGGATCATCGTGCCCCCATACCGCTCCAACAAAGGGAAGTAACTTCAGTGATGCTCCCATACCGCTCCAACAAAGGGAAGTAACTTCAGTGATGCTCCCATACCGCTCCAACAAAGGGAAGTAACTTCAGTAACACTTATGGTTACCTCTTATCTTTAATTTGTGCAAGCTTTACTAGTGTTGTATCTCTTGCTTGCTTGTGTTATTGTTGTTGCTATCATCATATAGATTGTTCGTCTAGTTGTATATCTAGACAACCTATTTATTGCTAAACCTAATTTGATAAGAAAAAATAAAAATTGGTATTTGCCTGTTCACCCCGTAGTCAACCATATCGATCCTTTCATCGTGGAATACTCGGTGGTAGATTGGACAACTGTCTCGTGCGCCATCAGATGGCTGCCAAGGCGTCCGATCAAATTCAGTTTCACCTGGACGAGCATTGCGTACCCTTAAAATATTTTCAAAATATTGATGGATGTTGGCATATTTTCTAGGAGTATTATAATTTAGTCAAACTTTTTTTAACATCCCCTAAAATTAGACTTTCAGTTATTTTCGTAGCTTAAAAACAAGTTTTTTTTTTCCGAATTTGTCACAAAAAACGAACAAAGTTATCAAATATTTTCGCATCCAGAGGCCACGCGAACTCCGCTTCGTCTCGTCGCGACCATCTGACAGGTTCGCTCGCCGGGCGGAGGCATACCCGCCGCCATGTCGAAGCTCGCCAACCAGCCGCCGCCGCCGCCGTCGGATATGGATATTGACTCCGCAGCCGCGGTCGAGGAGAAGAATCCCGTCAGGTTCTCCATCAATGGTGAGCTTGTCCCCTCTCCTTACCCTCTGCGCAGACCCGATCTCGCCCCCTCGTGTCTCCTGATCCGTCCCCCTTCCTCCGCGCAGTGCTGGAACTCATGAGGGAGGCGCAGATGCAGCACGGCCTTCGCCACGGCGACTACACGCGGTACAGGTGAGCGCTCCGATTACCGATCCCACCCCACTTACGCCCACCCAGATCTGCTGCCTGCTCGTCTTCTCAACTGTGCCATGCCACCGTGATTCTCGCCTCGCGGGATTCACGCGCGTATATTTGATCGGGAGGCGTCTTTTCTTCCTACCGTGCTCTCAGATGTGTGACTTGTGATGGAATGCTTTCATCCAATTGTTCCCCTATATCGAAACTTTCCCATGGAAACCCTGCTTCGAACTTGCTTTGTAGTCTAATACTCCCTTAGTTCATTATTATAAGATGTTATCTTTTTTCTGAATCGGATGTATAGAGACGCATTTTAGTGTGTTTGTTTACTCATTTCAGTCCATATGTAGTCCATATTGAAATATCCAAAACATCTTATAATAGTGAACGGAGGGAGTTGAATTCATACATTTAATCTGCTCTAAAAGAAAGTTATCTTTTTACACATTTGCTTTGCACATTATGCTTGCTCCGTTTTCTCTGTTGCTGGTACATGAGGGGGAAGTTCTGTCCTCTCAGATGTTGCATGTCTTGTTTGCCCAAAGTATCTTGCTTTTGCTTATAATTTATTAGTATGGTGCTGCTGCCATTTGTGGATGCATACTTTGTCTAAAGGATTTAGGATTATTTGCAGGAGATACTGTACTGCGCGTCTGAGAAGGCTATACAAGTCTCTGAAGTTTTTGCATGGCCGTGGTAAATATACCCGGAGGAATATAACAGAGTCAACAGTGACTGATGTGAGGTGTGGCTCCTGATAATCTACCATATGCCTGCTGCATTTGTTCATACTTCACTTCGGCTGGTATTTTGGTAATTTTGTCAATTTTGATGGATCTGTTTGGACTTGGTATGTTAAATAACATTGTCAATGTTTAAAACTAACAATGTGATTTCCTTTGTACCGTTGAACATATGATTACTATTAGTTACAAAGATTTCAGCCACCATTTGGTAGTTGTGTACTACATGCCTGTGATATTCGTTAGTAATTTATCAGTATTGTTAATTCCTTACCCTAGCAAAATTCTTGTTATTGTTGATGAACACTTTTGTAGTGCATGTAATCGGTATGCGATAACTATTGGGGAACTTAAGCAAATGCTTTCGCAATTTAGTGAGCTGTTAGGCTTGGTTATGCCTGAAGCAATTTTAACACATGCGTGTAGGTTTCTACATGTGGTATTTTATATGGCTGAGAGAGCATGGAGTCATGCTATGGAGAAGAAAACTGCTGGTCCAAATGCACCGCAGCGCATCTACATGCTGGGTCGATTTAGGAAGGCAGTCAAATGGGCGGCACTTTTTTCACAGTTATGTTCTATAAAAGGAGATTCCAGGACATCTTTGGAAGCTGAGGTGTGTTTCTTATATTTGTTTGATTTAGTGCTCACTTGACAATCCTTTTTAAGTACAAAATAGAAACCTCACTATATTGACCTGATATAGTTGTCCTATAAGAAAAGTATTTTTTGAACCATCTAAAATAATATCTTTTGTAGGCATATGCTTCATATATGAAAGGAACTTTGCTTTTTGAGCAAGAGAAGAACATAGAGGCAGCAATGTTGAATTTCAAGAATACCAGGTTTGTGGAAATGATAATTCATTGAAGTTTTGGTTCTATGCAGTGTGGTATTATTCCTTGTGTGGATCATCCCATTATTGTCGTGCCTTGCTGTTTGGATATATCATGATACTTGCTCCCCTCATGAGTATTTTAAAAGTTAGTGATTGACATGTATTATTTTTCACAGGACTGTATATGAGGAGCTTGGGAAGTATGGCGGCATAGAAAATCAACTTTTATGCCGTCAGCGCATTGAGGAAGTGGAGCCTATGATTGGATTCTGTTCACGCAAACTTGGTGGATCTGCTCTGCAAGAACATGATCTCCTAGATATGGAAAAGGAGGGGCCTGCTTATGATCTTTTTAAAGCTAAGATTGAGGTATTTTCTTTTCTTACAACTAAAGAATATAGTGGAATGCTTAAGAGGTCCTAAAACTATCGAGGGGTGTCAAGGTAGTCCTAAAACTTTAAAAGTGCAGACTTGGGCCCCAAAAGTTATAAGTTGTTCATCGCGGTCCTAAGCAGCCCAGACCGGGTCTGACTTGCTTATGTGGTATGTTGACTGTCGCCGCGTAGACGTATGGACTCACCAGGATAACCGATTGAAGCCAGAATCTGTTGAAAGTAGAAACACCCCTGATATCCTGGTAATTTTCACTTGTGGCCCCTAGTTCTTTTCCCCACTGGCAATGTTCAGGAAATAGTTAACTGGTAACCACTCGGTCGGTTGGTGAGTAGGGTATTAATAGGCGAATCAGCTGACAAATCAGCTAATCGGCTGATAAATGAGTTAGTTGGCTACTCAGTGACCCACTGAGAAGGGATTAATTGTCCAGTCATATTTTGAACACCGCCCACTGGTAACATAGGCTCATCCCCAACCTCTCGTCCTGATCCTCTCTCCCTCACGCATGTGAAGATACAAGTCCAATCCCCAAATCACGTGCAACCCATATTATGAGGAACTAGTCAGGGATTGCACGTCAGAGACATAATGTAGGTAATTTTTTTTTATTATGCCACTGCAAAACTATCAGATATTGCACATACCACTGCAACGATTCGATTAATTTTTCTCCATGCACATTTTGACAGATATATGATTCCCATTGGTTCTTCTGGGAATTAGGTCACCACACACTTCTTATCTTTGCAGTGTGTAACATGAATGTTTGGTCAGCTTGATTAATGCATGTTTAAACTTTGAGTTTTTTTATCTGCAATCCACATCATTTGTTTACAGTTTGAAAATGGTGTGCATATCTTGCAGTGCACCTAAACTTCACTATATTGAAGTTAGTTAATGTTGCATACTTGCAAACTTGAATTAGTACAATGAGGGTATCAAAATACGTAACCAACAATTCTAGTTTAGCTTTTGTGTTCTTTGACTTCACACAATGGGTATGCTGTTTTTTTGTTGAACCTGTGCTTTTGTGTATTTCTTGGTCAAGTCGGGAAGTTCATTGAAGATTTATGACTTGTATTTGAAATTGGGAACTGTTTTCCTCACAAAATTAGAAAAGGAATTGTCAGAATCATGCTAGACAAGTTCTAGTATGGCGTTAATTATTGCTTAGAGCAAGACCAATGGCTTACCTATCCGGCTTTGAATCGGCCAAATTGCTGATTTTGGTTGAAATCGATGCTCCAACAGCATCGGCAAACAGCCCAGCAAAAGAATCACTCGGCAAACTATCCTTTATGTTTGCCACTTCTGCAGACCTGGAAGTGAGTGGGCATTGATCAATGACCGCGGCAGCTCTTCCCTCCTGCGTTGCCGAGGAATGATCTGTGGATGGTGCTCCGTTCCCCTCTCGTGCGACCACCATTTTTTTTCTGTTGCCGCCGCGCGCCTCTCTTGCTGCTCGCTCGATCTGGGGGAACTGGTTGGTCTGGAAAAATCAGAGGGGAGGGCGCCGGGGAGAGGGGAGGAAGAAGCTTGGGGGGATAGGGTGCAGCGGTGGTGGTGTTCGGTGGCGTCAAGAGGGCAGGAGGTGCTGCGCTCGTCCGTGCCATCGAGAGACAGGGGGTTGGCGGTGCTCTCTGGCTGCAGCGATATATTTGATGCTTTGTGTCGTCGATTGATTGCTGCGCTGCTGCCCTCTACCTGTTGCTGATGCTTCCATTAATGTGAGGTTGTGAGAGACAGAGATCATGTGCTGCTCCTTGTGCTTGTATGCTTGCATTTTATTAGAGATAAGTGAGAGATATATTGACAACAGATGTTGAATCGATTCGTTTGATGTTGTGTGTTTGCAATTGCTGTTGTTGGATGGAGATAGCACATGAATAGTGGGGTCAACTGAAATTATGCATCAATAAAATATCAAATACTTTGTTGGATTAATAGGTTTTAGAGAATTTTGTGAGTTACAAAAAATTAATAAAATATAGATGGCTGACATTTGGACAGCAGGACTGTTGGAGCGTACAGAGAAATAGAGAAGGAATCTTTTGGTGAGGCTCTGTAAATAGAGATATAAGGAGTCGGTTTGAGGAGTCCAACGTTGGACTTGCTCACTAGAAACTATTTTGATGTTATTTCGTAAATATGACACCATAGCCTACTTGCAGTTTCTGATTGTCAGATTGCATTTCCATCCGTATTTTCAGATAGATGTATTTTGATACTTGCAGGCTGTATTATCTGAGACAAGGTCACAGCAGGCGGCTTCTATGACTGAGTTTAACTGGCTTGGTCGCAGATTTCCAATTACCAGTGCAAAGACCCGTGTCTCCATATTAAAAGGTACTCCTATATAGGTTATGTATGTTCTCTCTAATTATTATAGACATGATTTGCATGTTCATCTCAGAGATAGCAGATAGTCCACATCTTATTTAATTGACCAAAACAGTTTTTCTACAGTATTTCTGCATCTACTTTGCTTTCTACTTGTAGATAGATTTCTTTTTAATCTAGTGATATGATTCAGCTCAGCAGCTGGAGAGGGATTTAAATGGCGCAGCCACAGAACCAATTTCAGCAGACAAAAAACTTGCTATATTTGATAAACTATTCTCTGCATACCACGAAGCTCGAAGCTGCATCCGCAATGATTTGGTATGATAATAATGATATACTCCCTCCGTTCCTAAATATTTGTCTTTCTAGAGATTTCAACAAGTGACTACATACGGAGCAAAATGAGTGAATCTACACTCTAAAATATGTCTATATACATCCGTATGTGGTAGTCCATTTGAAATCTCTAAAAAGACAAATATTTAGGAACGGAGGGAGTAGATATATGTATGTTCTAAAGGCAGTATATGCATCCTACTAACACTTCTGCCAAATGCAGGCTTCTGCTGGCAGTGCTGAGAATATAAGAGACGAATTGAATGGTCTTGACAAGGCTGTCAGTGCAGTTTTAGGATTGAGGACCATAGAACGTAACCAGTTACTTGTTAGTATTGCTAAAAGTAAGTTTGCAAAGCATCGGGATGAGAAGAATGAGAAAATTACAAAGCCGGAAGAACTTGTTCGGCTGTATGATCTGCTAATTCAGGTAAGTTCTGTTCATATTACGACTTACTACTTACTAGAGTTGTGTACTTCTGCTGATGCGAAAACCTCTTAACTTGCAGAATACAACAGACCTAACTGATTTAGTTAGCTCAGGAAGGGATAAAAACGAAGAAGAGAACGCTTTTGTTCATGAGTATGAACTGAAAGATTTGGCTTTCCGAGCCGAGAGGTGAGTTCCACATTGTTTTCTTCGAAACCTAGAATTCTTTAACAATCAGCTTCTCTGTTCACGACTATATCGAATAATGTTATTGAGAGCTTGACACAAGGCATCCAAATAGTTAATTGTCTTATTTTTAAATTATTTAAACAAATGTTCCAGCTTGTTATCAAGGTTCCATCTGCTATCCTAGAAAGCTTACATGTAACACATAGCGGCTATGCTCACAAATTTTGTTTTGGAGTACTGTGCAGATGTTTCTATTTGGCAAAGTCATATAGTTCAGTCAGTAAAAGGGCCGAAGCCTATGCATTATTCTGTTATGCACGTTCCCTTGCTGATTCTGCACTGCAAGAACTGGCTAACAGTCCTCACAAGGTTCGCTACTGTGCTAACATTTATATGATCATTAAGAAGTTGGTAGCTTCTAAATTCCAGCCGTTTTATATCATTGTTTTAATTGTGCCCTCATCATTACCATTTTCATTTGGTGCATGTATTATCTTGGTGCCCTCGTAAGCTAATAGCAGCTTTTTGATCTTCAGAAATGCGTGTATTATGTTGGTACCTGTACAAGTCTGCCAGGATAAATGCTGTTTATTGATCTTTGAAGTTCAAACAACATAGTTTTAGGGCTTTACTGAGGGGCTCTTAAGTTTATCTTACTTTTTTAGTTAATACGCATGTATTAGCTACAAATTGTACAGTTTTGGCTTTTTTCGCTTCCTTTTTCAGTTCCTAGTAGTTAGTAGCTTAGCCTTTTCATATTTTCTTTGGTTTTTTTCCCTTCTGAGTTGTCGGTTTTGTGCTATCTTCATGCTCTTCATATACTACCTCTGTAAACTTTGATAAAAGTAGTGACCTAAAACATCTTATAAAAGTTTACAGAGTAAAAAACATGCGTTTGGGTGCTTGTTGGAGGAAAAAAAGCTTGATTTTTTGTCTGTCTGGCAGGTACTTAAGTCTAACTCAAATGCTCTTACTTTACAGGCCTTAATCCAAGATCTCGAGGCTCTATCTTTCAATTGTAGATCCAATAGTTGCATTGAACATGCAACAGGTATTATGGAGGATGAGAGTGCTCCTGAAAGACTTTCTAAAGGAGTCTCAACTATATCACTTGGCGACAATAGAAAAAAGGTATGCTTCGTACAAGTTCTTGTCCACGTAAACGTTTGATGAGATCAGTCTGTTACTATTGGTATTTAGATCATTAGTCCCACCATGTGAGTCTTATGTTATGGTAGGGTAGCTATCCTTGGCAGCCAGTTCTTTCACCCTTTTGTACACGTCATGAGTCTATTGATGAAAAGGGTGTCTGGGAAAACTTGAACTGAAGTCCTACAGTGAGGGATATTCATATTGAACCAAAAAGAAGAAAAAACTGCAGATTCTGTTTTCCTTTTATTCTTACAACTCCGTTCTTTCTTATGAATAGTCCATGAATCCAATTTATTCACCAGCTTGGTTTATTATCTTTTCTCTCCCTTCCATTCTTATGTTCTACTCCCTCCGATCCATATTAATTGTCTCTGATTTAGTACAACTTTTTACTAAATCAGCGACAATTCTTTTGTACACGTCATGAGTCTATTGATGAAAAGGTCCATGAATCCACTTTATTCACCAGCTTGGTTTATTATCTTTTCTCTCCCTTCCATTCTTATGTTCTACTCCCTCCGATCCATATTAATTGTCTCTGATTTAGTACAGCTTTTTACTAAATCAGCGACAATTCTTTTGTACACGTCATGAGTCTATTGATGAAAAGGTCCATGAATCCACTTTATTCACCAGCTTGGTTTATTATCTTTTCTCTCCCTTCCATTCTTATGTTCTACTCCCTCCGATCCATATTAATTGTCTCTGATTTAGTACAGCTTTTTACTAAATTAGCGACAATTCTTTTGTACACGTCATGAGTCTATTGATGAAAAGGTCCATGAATCCACTTTATTCACCAGCTTGGTTTATTATCTTTTCTTTCCCTTCCATTCTTATGTTCTACTCCCTCCGATACATATTAATTGTCTCTGATTTAGTACAACTTTTTACTAAATCAGCGACAATTCTTTTGTACACGTCATGAGTCTATTGATGAAAAGGTCCATGAATCCACTTTATTCACCAGCTTGGTTTATTATCTTTTCTCTCCCTTCCATTCTTATGTTCTACTCCCTCTGATCCATATTTTTTGTCTCTGATTTAGTACTCCCTCCGTCCGGAAATACTTGTCCTTCAAATGGTTGTATCTGGACTTATTTTAGTTATAGATACATCCATTTTATACATTTCGAGGAGAAGTATTTCCGGACGGAGGGAGTACAACTTTTTACTAAATCAGCGACAATTAATATGGGTCGGAGGGAGTATTATTCTTTAGCTTTACCTGATATGTTAATGAATCCGCTTTATTCACTACCTTGGTATGATACTTCATTACTTTGCTAGAGGATTCTGCTATCTCAACTTTCATTGCATCTCTTAATCTATGTACAGTCTGGTGTTCCCTGGGTAGATCTTTTATGTGTGAAATCAAAACCAATGGCATGCCATGTCATTAAAGGGTGTTATACTGTTATTACGAAGTGATGCACTTTAGGGTCATCTTTTGAATATATGCTGATAATAATGAGTTTGTATTTTGCAGGATCCTAAATACCTCCTTGATATCCTAGGGAGCTATGAATCAGCACTTGGTGAGCAAAGCGCCAAAGCGCCATGTCGCATTTCACAGTTCCCACCACCGTTCCAACCAGTTCCCTGCAACCCAATTGTTCTTGACATGGCATACAACGCAATCGAGTTCCCGAACCTTGAGAACAGGATGAAGAAGGAAAAGAAGGGTCTCCTCCGCAGATTCTGGGGGTGAAAGGAAGAGAGCGCATTGTTTAGTTCCTCAGGGTCACCTTTGCTCTTGGATTTTGATACATTACCTTGGTGGATTAATTTGTTTTTGGCTGTGCTGCTCATCACAGTGCCGGTTTGATGTCTGGAAGGTTTCTAAGAAGTCGAACCAAGTTTGATAGGCAAATTTTTGTACTGTTTCAAAATTCATCAGTTTGAGTGTCCCTCTTTACAATCTCCTTATACCGTATGGAACATTAACTAAATAGACCGTACTTTTGAAATGTTATAAATTGTTGCAGTATGGTTAACTTATATTCGGCAATACTAGGTTTCATGTTTGGCTGCAGTAATGCTTATCCAAAATGTGGGCCAACGTGCAAGGCTGCTGCACTCTTGTGGCGAGGATATATAGACCCGGTCGAAGCTTTGAAATATATTTCAATTTTTGGGCCATATAGATTGTTTACAACACTTGGTGTCACGATGATTGCTCCATTCAGAACAAGCGCAAAGGAGGCTAAATGCTTCAGTCAACTTGTTAATTGCATAACCAAATGCTTCAACTTTTCGAGGGAACATGCAAACGAACTTAAATCCAATTACCCAAGCTTGTGATTAATTCTTGTCAAACAGTGGTTGTATGCTTGCGCTTTCATCAGATCAGATGGTGCTGGATTTTCCAGATGATGTTGATGCGGTTACGCCAGTAAGACATTTCCCTCGCGCGTTTCTCGGTGAATAGTACTCGGTATGCCAAATGAAAGGAAATGCCTTAAACGTGCTGGGACAAAAAATCTCCACAAAGATGATACAGGCGGCCTCCTCCAGTTGTGAAAGTCCCTTTAGCAGCACCTTGTTCACTCACATAACACAAGTGTGCTGCCTGCCTGCCTCTGCAACATGCGCAACCATCCTCCTTTCGTATTGATATTTTTACTTTTACTTCATCCTTTTCATAATATAAAAGCGTTTTTTACACTACTCCCTCTGTCCCAGAAATAAAAATGTTACTATGCTCTCCCTTCGTCCTAAAATATAAAAACGTTTTTAGCACTAGCATAGTATAAAAAACGTTCTTATATTCTGAAACAGAGGAAGTAATAGATAATAAGAATCGTGTTAATGTACCCGGCCGAGTTTCCTCGAGGAGAAATCCAAAGAAAGTGATATACACTAAGCGACCTGAGATGTGGAGCGAGCTGCTCAATTTTCTTTTCTTTCCTTTTGCGTCCAATCATCCGAGGAGAAAGGGAAGACGCTGGCCAACTTGTCCTCTCAGAGAAGGGAAAATGAAAAGGAGAAACTTGAGCCCTATCCACTATCTTAGCTGGTGATGTTTCAGTCGGAGCTTGTGCGGTTCGTTTGTTTGGCTGGGCTACTCGTGCACAACTTCTTCATGCAATTGCAACGCAGCCATTATCTTTTCCAACCAAACCAAACCAGAAAGTACGAGAGCATTTACAACCACGAACACCAAAATTCGGCCCAAACGCTCATGGGTGCGCTCGGGCATATCTGCTGACCGTGACCGAGCGAACATGCCCGAGCAGTACACAAGAAACGTCTATCACATCCGTGAATCTTAAACTTTTATTTAAAAGTACGCCAATGGTATACCATATTTTTATATTCCCTCCGTTTCTAAATATATGTCTTTTTACTTTTTAAACATTTCAAATGGATTATAACATACGGATGTACGTAGACATATTTTAGTGTGTAGATTCACTTATTTTACTTCGTATGTAGTCACTTGTTGGAATCTTTAGAAAGACTTATATTTAGAACGGAGGGAGTAGAAGATAGAGCATATTTACAAGAAGTGTAGCCCATATGCGTACATACGGGCGTCCACAAAACACCAACACCAACACCGACCCTAAACATCTAAGCTAACTTAACTTATCACAAAACGTTGTAAACCTCCAACACCACCCGCCTGTTGGAGATATGCCCTAGAGGCAATCATGAATGATGATATTTTCTATGTGTTTATGAATAAAGATAGTCCTTGGACATTATCAATGATGTGTATCAGCAAGTACGTGACTTGTTTGTGGGACTATGCATTGTATGATGACTGTCCTAAAAGGTCCCTAGTCGAAAGGGCTGTGTGGACGCGCAGTCAACTAGACTGGCATATGACACGGTCGATGGCTTGGTCTCACTAGCCATGGAGCATTGGATGCTAACCGGTTAATATGGACTTGGAAGGATCTGGTCGGATTCGACGTAGTCGGATTCGAGTCGAGATAAGGTCCGAGTCGGACAGACCCAACTATGAGACGCAGTGATATGTCATCTGTGAGTCTCTAGTACAACATATGTTCTATGTCCTAAGACCTGAGCTGACGCATGTACTCGGGATGGTGACAGACTTGCTTTGGGCTGACCAAACGCTACTCCGTGACTGGGTAGTTACAAAGGTAGGTTTCAGGCTTGTCCAGACCCATGCTGCGAGACATGGTCGAGCAAGATGGGGTTTGCCCCTCCGACCAGGAGAGATATACTCTGGGCCCCTCGTGTGATCCGACCAGGATAAGCATGGCCATACGACAAGGATTATGAGATAATCCGGTTTGTGGTCAGCATCACTGGAACGAGAAAAAGGTCGGGCCAGCACAAGGATGACAGACTTGCCTTGAGCTCGACAACATATATCGTGTGGCAAAAGGAATGGAAGTGTGATGTACAGGTTCGCTAACCAGCTTCATAGTCTGCTTGGTGTTCGGCATGCCTTGCTAGAGGCCGCTACCAACCGTGCAGTTCGGAGGTGATCCGAACTGCGACCAAGCCGACTTGAATCTAAGGGGTCGCGCGTTTAAGGGAAGGAATCTACGAGGTCGGATCCGAGGACACTGGTCGGATGTGATCCGAACTGTATTCGGATTGTGGCTGAGTAGACTTATGGGCTTTAGGGTCCGTGCGAGGCCCAAGTGTTGAGCCCGCGACAGACGCCTATATATGTAGTGGAGGTGCCGCACACTCATGCGGTTGATCGCTTCGGCGCTGTCACTAGGGTTTGCATGTGTTGCGAATAGACACCTCCACTCGCTGCCGGTTGTGTGATCGGACCTAGCAGTCCGCCGCACGACGTTCTTCCTGCACGCGCGAATACCGTTAGAGGCGGTGCACTTGCGCCGCTCCGACAAACCTGTACGTGGGAACCGACCACCGGTTGTACGAGGGTACGAGGAGGAGACGATCCACGCGGACGCGCTGCCCCAACTCTTCTTCCGCTGCACGACACTGCGCCTCTAGTGGTAACGAACTGTGATCCATCTCCCGTAGCATGTTCTTGGTTGTTCTGCGCGTACGAAATTTTAATTTGCAATCAACGCACCCTACCGTAGATCCCAACAGTGGTATCAGAGCCTCTGCTATAGGATTTGGATTCAGATCGTATGCATATTAAATATGTGGAGGCAATAGATGAGATCTGTTGTCAATGATAAGATTGGTTGTGTGCACGGTTGATGAGATCAACTGCACATGGGGATCAATGTAGCTATATTTTCTGTTGATTGGGATTGATGAGGTCGTGACACGATCTACCCCTACCGGTCGGTTATCCGCCATCGGGGTTAACAGTGAAACGTAAATCCGAATCGGATTCGCGATGATCGATTTCCGAAAACTCAAACCGGTAGAATGCGATTCTATGCATAACTTTATTTTGCAGGGTTTGATGTGAATAGTATGGCTCATGTGTATGTGATGCATGTGTGTAAATTATACATGGCCTGCGTGTCATGTTTGTCAGCCGGCAGGAGCCAAACTGCTGTCATTATATTGTATAACGACCTGCGTATCGACTTGTGACTCTATGTAAAATTCATTACTAGATGTAGTAGTTGGATAATAGGGATCAGGTTGGTGGCTTGGCGTCCCGGTGTGACAAGCAAGATGGAGTTCCTAGATGGTCATCGGAGTCGGAGCCAACCAGGAAGAACATCCATGAAGGAGCCATACTATTTCACAATATGTGTTTATTTGTGATTGTTATGCTTCCTTGTTTTCTATGCATGATAGAATGGTAGAAAGATCCCTCATGAATATCAAGCGAATTGCCATCCCCGATGTTGCACCTTCGCACGTCAAGTACGTCTAGTAGTGGGCTCATAAAATTGGGGTGCTTCTAGGTGTCCTTAAACTGAAGGGTTCGTGTCGGACACGGACATGCACTGCATTAGGTTGACTTGACAAGGCTATCAAAACGGTTTTGGGCCTTGTGGCAAAAGAGGTCGGGAGCCGGGGTATGAGATACCTACCCGACCGACAGGAGTCGTATAGAGATACGATTAGCAAGGAGTTGCTTACCGGATAGACATGTTGTCTAGCAGTGATGCTAAAGCTCACTAATCGCATGTTCTAGTCGGATCCTGAATCACTGAGAGTTTGCGGAGGGATGCTGACTTCAGTGGGAGTATTTCTGTTTAAGTCTAGAATTACTCTACATAAACACATTGCTTAGTGATTGCATATTTTTCTGTTGTAGATCAATGGCACCACCTGCTCAACCCAACTTTGCATTGAAATCAATTCTGGAAAAGGATAAACTGAATGGAACAAACTTTACTACCTGGTATAGAAATTTGGGAATTGTTCTCAAGCATGATAAAAAGGAACATGTTCTAGAGGATCCGCTTCCAGAGGAACCTGCCAATAATGCTAGTACCACAACCAAGAATGCTTACCAGAAACTCGTTGATGAATCAAACGAGATCAGCTACCTCATGCTGGCTTGTATGGAGCCCGATTTGCAGCAGCATTTCGAAGACGTTGGGGCTTTTGATATGATCGAGAGTCTCAAGAGCATGTTTCAGGTGCAGGCTAGGACCGAAAGGTTCAACGTCTGGCGATCCTTGATGGATTGTAAGCTGAAGGAAGGTGATCCATTGAGCCCGCATGTGATCAAGATGATCGGATATGTGCAAGCTTTGGATCGGTTGGGCTTCCCGCTCTTGGATGAGCTGGCTACTAATGCAGTTCTGGGTTCTCTTCCGCCCAGCTATGGAACAT